AAAAATTAAACTCATAAGTACATACTATGCATAAATCATGTACTCATAGCATCAAAATATCAAACAAACAAAAAACAAGTATACATACAGAATCGAAATGCTTTCAAAGACCAATACAAAATGAAAGTGATCTAATTTTTTGGTGCAACGCTTTGCTTTGCATTTTATGCAAAGACTTTGCAGTGAAATTTTTATTTGCAAAGTGCAAAGTAAATTATGTTAAGTCTTTGGTGCAACGCTTTTCACTTTTACTTTGCAAAAAAAAGTCACTCATAAGTTTTGCAAAGTGAAAAGTGAAAAGTGTTGGTGCAACAGGGCCCTGGATGATGTGTTGTCTGCAGACGATTCAATAAAATAAACTTCGTCGCCTAGCGCAGAACTAGATGGTGACTGTGACAATGTGTCCGTACATATAACAAGCGGCTGAAAATTAGACATGAGTCCAAACACTTCATTCAATAGTTCAAAATGTGGACAAATTTTCGTAAGTTTCGCTGAAATTGATAAATAGATAAATTAATTCACAAATGTATATGTATATAATATTATATTTGTGAAAACTTAATGAATGGCCACATCGTTTTAAATCATTGAACGAAACATATCTCGAAATTTTACTAACCCTCAATTCAAATTTAAAAATGAGAAGCAACAAATGTCAAAACAGCTGATTTCTGCCATTTTTGTTTTGTTGCAAGCAAATAGACATAGGTCTTAGTATTGGAAGATTGCACGCAATTGCACGAAATTTTGTGCGTGTATTTTGTGGTTGTTATTTGCATTTTCGTACAATCTGTGCATTTCGTGCACCTTGCAATGAGTTTGCAAGGGAGAGTGAATACCCCTTATGTATTAAATGCTCATTGATGCAGTCTAGCATTTCTCTTACGACGAATATTTTGACAATTATTTGGCTGTTTCGTTGATTTATTTTGATTCTCACCAACGTGCTTTGTCATACATTGGGTTGCTGGTGGTTCTCAATATTTATTTTATTTATTGTAATATAATAAAATATAAAAAGTGTTCAAAAAATATATAAATATTATAATAAATAAGTAGATAAGTCTATTCATTTATTTAATTATATTATTATTTTATATTTTATTTCAATGTGATTGCAGACCACTTGGATGTATTGCGCGTGCGTGCTGCAATTATTTTGATGCGGGGGGTGAGGTTTGGTAAGTTGTTTATGATAAATAAATTAAATATTAGTTAATCTATTTTATTTGCATCTATTTGCAATATTTACCAGTGAACACTTACTGATAAATAAGTGTAAACGTGATGTGCTTAAATAAAACCTGTGTGCTGAAGTTTTTTTAGTTCGTATCGTACATTAGTGATGTTTTTAGTGTATATATACATATGTAGGTGAAAATTTGGTGTAAATTTCCGTCCTTATAATATATTTTTTTCTCTCTTTTTGCCATTTTTAATCTCTATACACTCGTCTTTAAACATATAGAAATAACATATGTAACAAGTTCGCATTTCTTTCCTTTTTGAATATTTAAGTAATTTATTTAAATGAAAACATGGAAGCATAACAAAAGATATAAAATTACAAACATGTACTCATATAATATTTATATATTTTTTCTATGGGAAATATCTATTGACTTGTAGTGTCATCTATATCTGCGACAAACCAACAAAAACAAATGCTAAAAATTCACATGAACAATTCCAGTTCGAATTGAACCCAGAAATTAAAATAATTGGAACTTTAGTCTACAGGAATATCAATTTCATATGGGTGATGTAGAAGTAGACAATGAAGATATGATTTTATTTTTGTTGTTAATATTGTTCTGCTCTTATGTTTTGCTCTTAGTCCAAATTTATTAAAAACATTTCTATTACTTATCAAATCTGAAATTAGCTTCTATTCTCCAGCAAATTTCGTTAGTAGTTCTGCTACCTTAAACCTTAATTCTATTTTTTGTAGTTTATTCTTTCCAAAATCTAAGGTAATGACAATATCACAATTTTCGACGAATATCGAGTTCTAAGCATTATATATTGTTTTCACCACACAAATTGCATTTATTGAGGGACCGAAAAGTGGTGCTCCCATATATTCTACACATACGGAAGATCATGTACTATGAAGCTATTTATCAGGGTTCAGAACAACACTGTGCTGTGGACAAAATGCAAAGCACTTCCCACAAATGTGTGCGCAAATAAAGAAATTTTACACCACAAATGTGGTGTGCGAAAATTTTTTTTCAAAAAAAATTCATGTCTTGTGTGCACAAACAAAATACACATTTCACACGAATGTGGTGGAGTGAAATAAAACTCGCACACTTATTCAGTGTTTGTGCCGAAGTTACCCAGTAGTCCCTGCCGTAAACACATGAAAAATACATGCCTGACATCATATTTACAAAAGAAGGTGACAAGTGATCATACTAATAGAATGTACTAGTAATGTATCATATCATGCGACTAGCAGAAAAAAAACCCTTACACTTCGTGGAACATACCGAGCGACAGATATTTTACAATTATTTAAATCATGCTCAGTGCGGGCCATCTAGTTTTTCGGTGCGTATTGATTTTGTTGTTAAAATCTAGTGAATTTGCTTTCAACAATAATATATTAATTATTGTTTTTCGTTCGATTTTCCATTCGGCATTCCAGTGTAAGTAAAAAATTAAATTGATTGCGCTTTATATACTTTAAGCGTTCTTTTTAATATACTTTATTATATCTCTATTTCAGTCTGCAGTTCAGTAGTTGTTTTCAGTTTATTTATTTATTTATTATTTTAATAATAATTATTAATATTTAATTATTTATTTGTGTTTTAATTGATCTTATTAGGTATTATTTCTCATTCGGTTAACTTAAAATTAAATAGCATGCACACTAGGGTGCCATTAATTTTCGAAAGTCGGAAAATTGCCCGCGGCACCCCCCCAGATCGGTTCGTTTTACTAAAAAAATAATCTGTGTGAAATTTTAGTTCAATTGGATAAGTGGAAATGGTGCCCCAAGAGCCTCAAAGATTGGAAAATAACGATTTTTTCCATAAAATTCATCTTTGATTGCTTATATCTCCGACATATTTAATTTTACATAAAAACTGTCTTCCCAAAAGTTATAGATCTATTTAAAATAAACAATTCACTAATACAAAGTTTTTCTGTATTTCTAATATTTATTGAATAAAACTTAATTATAAAAAATATAAAAAAAGAATGTTTTCAATGTATAAGTTAGAGTGCTAAAAGCTTTTATTAATATGAGAGGAAAAGAAAGCTCACTCACCATCACCTTTCCCGATGGTTTTGGGGAGTGGATAATTGCGCGTCTAAGCGATTCGCGGACGATGGACAACTCTCTTACAAAAGTATCGCTGAAGAATCGTCTGCGTTTGAATTAAATACGCTTCCGCGAGAAACAAAACACGCGAAAGCATTCCGGACGCTGGGCACAAAACAAACATACATTGTGACCGAAAGGTTTTCGGAAGTTCTCATTTAAAATTCGCGCGCTGTATATTTTTCGATATTTTAAGTTTATGTAGTTTGGCAGCACTTTCCTTAATTACTATGCCAAAAATGAGCGCGATCTGTCAGACAGTTCGTTACGGCAGCTGTTGAAACCAGTTCACCTCAGTAGTGCGTTGCGAAAAAACAATGGAAAAAAATATTGAACAAAGAGTTTGCATCAAATTTTGTGTTTCGAACGAAATTTCGTGTGCAGAATCGTTGCGAATGCTACAAAAGGCTTATGGGTAATCAGTTTTATCGAAAACTCAAGTTTATGAGTGGTACAAAGCCTTTCAGGACGGTCGTACGACCGTCGAAGACATGCCGCGTTCTGGACGACCTTCGGCCTCTACCACCGACGAAAACATTGAAAAGGCAAAGGAAATCGTGTTCCAAAATCCTCATGTGAGTGTTAGAGAGATAGCACGAGAGCTAGGCATCGGTCGTGAGAGCCTACGGCCTCAATTGTGGAAGGATAATTCATGGATTTTTCATGACGATAATGCTCCCTCGCACCGAGCCAACATTATCAACGATTTTAAGGCCCAACATTCAATAAATACCATCGAACAGCCACCGTATTCACCTGATCTTGCACCGTGTGACTTTTTCCTGTTTCCCAAACTCAAATTACCACTCAGAGGAACGCGTTTTGAATCCATAGAAGACGAAAAACAGAATTCGCAGAGGGAACTCAAAGCCATACCGGAAAGCGCCAATAAAAATGTTGATGATTTGGAAGAACGTTTGGATTGTGTATGCTTTCTCATGGAGCATATTTTGAAGGAGATAAAATAAATATTGATGAAGATTAAGAATTTTGCGTTTGTACATTGTGACCGGAAACTTTTCGGTCACAATGTATATCACGCTTCATGACAGTTCATGATAGTGTAAACTGAACTATTCATGTTGTCGTCAAGTTCATCTCACGTTCATGATAGTGTAAATAGGCCACACGAGTATAAGTAATGTGTGAAAAAATATTTATGTTATACACATTTTGCTTTGCGCTTTTACGAGTGTTAAAATTATGACTGAGTGTTAAAATTATGACTAGTTGCAGTTCTCTGTACCCGATAAAAGTTATAACTAATAATTATAAAAAAAATATAATTAATGACTTAATGTAATATATACTTCCATAAGTTATATCATTATTAAACATAAGCATTGGTTTCACTACTTCTAAGAAATATAAAATTTAACAATTTAATTGAATGCCTGACTCTTAATACAATTAAATTCAGTTTTTTCATTCAACTTTCTTGAGTTGACCATACCATATCTTTGAAACCGTCATTAAAAATATTAACAAAACAATAATGTTTTCTTATTTATTTGAATAAAAAACATTCCACAACAAGTGTTGCATTATTTAAATAATATATTAATGCGATTGAAGTATCAGGCAAGCGTATTTCCATTTGTTGAAACTGAAAATAAAATAAAAAATTACCGATAATCTCTGCGACCCTGGGCTATAGTCGTAAATACAATAGAACAAAATGTACAATAAAAATTGAAAACAAGCACAAGAGGAATTAACGAAACGATTTCCAACAGAGAAGACAAAAGCGTATAGAAACGACAACAATTAGTAAAATTCTAAGCACAAATCGCCTTAAAAAATCGCGAAGAGAACAAAATCACTTATTTACTGTGCCGTCTTCGCTTTTCTTTTAGTTATTTTACGATCTCAAAACGATTCAAAACATTGCGCACGATGGACCGGAACATCGTAATCATTTTGTTTTGCTTTGGTTTTTCGATGATGCTTTTAGATTCGGTGTGCAACGCCTACTCAGGTCTCATACCAGCAGATCCAGGTAGCTAATGGCAAAAGAACGTCATATAGCAATTTACATTCATTTATTTTGTGTACCTAATTGTAGATAACCCGGGTAAATGCATACACCATGGTGACACTTTGAAATTGGGCATTAATCCGGGGAATGCACCATGTCAGCGTTTAACATGTAACGAAGACGGGTCAATACTAATTGAAGGGTGAGCTCAAATACTTTCTCGTTGCTGATATAAACTGCACACTAATTTAAAGTATATCAAAAATAAATATGATGAAGTCGTGAGTCAGACTTCAGCGCGAAAATCTAATTGCTGATCATTTGAGAATTTTAAAAATTTAAACACGAAATAATTATAAAATATGTGACAATATTCCAAGTATTTGAAATAAAATTCGGGTGGTGCAATTATGTATAATGTGTGCATATGTATTTGATCAAAAAATTGTTTTGATTTTAATACGCAGTGACCGCGCAGTTTTATTGAACACAAAAAATTGCCCAAGCTGATAAAAATATGTACTGCAAATACACTTATAAATAAATTACATTTAAAAATTCAATAAGGCACCCAAAAAAATAAATTTTCAGACTGAAATCAATTAAATCTGAGAGAAACATTTCTAAATATTTCTAAGAGTATAAATTCTATTACAATTTTACATTCAAGAAGTATTAAAAATATTAATACTTCTCGTTTGTGGACGCGGTAATAATATATGCCGAGACTGGAAGAGATTTTTACCCAGCATTGCAAATACTATATTATTTTGCTACGCCGACACATACTACATTCTCATTCACATACACATTAAAAGTTGTGAATGTTTTTTTCAGCTTCAAAGTCAATTTTTTATATAAACAAAATTCCAAAACATGTAGTATAGTGATAGTAAATAAGAAGACTCCTAATCATATAGATTTGATAATAGATTCGATTAAAATGAAAATAACATCCTAAATATGCATATTTCGAATAAAAGCTAGCCCCATTTTTATTGAAGTTATATATATATATATATAACATATATACATATGTTGCACCCGTGAATAGCTGTCATGTTTGCCAAGTTTCTTGTTACTGATATTGCATTTGATACAAGCGTTGATTGCATTAGGGATTTTACTCGATTTTACTCTCTAAATGCGATATCCAAAACTGCTGACTTACGCTATGCATTGTTTTTTGTACATAAAATTATGCAACATTATGGACAGTCGTAATAATTTCACGCTCCATCACTTTGGGTTCAACTGTCAGGTTTCAGAGATCTTAGAGAAAATTGTAAGAACCTCCATTAAACAGTTCCATGTTCATGTTCAATTTTAAAGTCGAAGTCTGCCGGATGTAATATCCATTGAGCTACTTCACGCGGAACTTTAGTCTTTTAACTGTCTGAGTAAATGCAGAGCAATCTGCAATCAACTAAAACGGGACTCCTAAAAGGTTGTATCGAAATTGTTATTGTAATTGTGATGTTTAAAATCACTTAACGTTATTTTCTTACTCCAAAACAAAACTGGATGAAATGGTCTTCAAACGTTTACACTATGTAGTACCAAAACTGTCTTTTAATGCATCTGTGTGTAATTTTATTAGCGCATTCCTACAGTAAGTTTTTAAGACAGGTTAACTGATCAAAGCATTTTTCACGCCACTTCCACTATATGTCCACTATAATCCACTATAATTTTTCACTATATGTCCCACTTCAGTGCATTTAATACATTTTCTTTCCATTTTACAAACTGCTCGGTTATGATCACTTGATCCACAATTAAATCAGTGGCTCATTTTTTAATTATGAATGTTTTTCTTGCTGTTACTGCTAAACTGATTTTTCTCAGGTTTATTGATTTCACCTACACGCTCGAATATTTCATACTTCTCTCTGAATTCTTGGTACGTTTTACAACTGTATAATCCAACATCTCTGCTTATTACTATTACTATTATTACACTTAATTTTTGGTAATTTTTGGCCGCACTTTTGCTTCTTTTAATGTTTCTAACACTTCTTTTTTGTTTACGGAGCACTGTATGATCTCCTTCTCAACGCCTTCGGACGTGTATAATGTTGTTGTACAATATTTTAACAACAATTTTAACGACAACTACTTCATTATTCAGAACATTGTTTGGAATCAGTTGTCGAGTAGTGACAATTGATTAAACGCGGATACGTTACTTTACACCTGAAATAAAACAACAAGCTAGAGAATGGCTAAAGCCCGGGGACAGTGCACCCAAACGACTACAAACTTATCAATCAGCTGGAAAAGTTTTGGCTTCCGTATTTTGGAACTCAAGTGGAATAATTTTCTTTGACTATATAGAAAAAAGAAAAACAATAACATCAGACTACTATTGCATATTGTTGGTTCGATTGAATGAGGAAATAAAGGGAAAAAATGGCTAAATTTGTCAAAGAAAAATATTTTGTTTTTGCGGGATAACGCACTAGGATATTATAATCAAATGTCACAGGATATTGTATATGTTTTTTATAATTTGTATTCTTCTTTCTCTTATCGCTTTTCTTTTTGTCATTATTTTTATCGTATTTATTATTTTTCCCGCTATAACTTTTAAATTATGTTTTTTGTTAGTTTCCTTAAAGATAACTATCGAAGATAGACGAAAAATTCAAATATAATAAATAAATACTGTCATTAATATATGAAGATTTCTCCAAGCAATTGTTGAAAATCGGTTATGGCCGTGTGCCTGTTAAAGAATCCAGCGGATTAATTGCATTTCCTTCAAATTGTTGCAATTTCGTCTCATCAAAAGACGAACTCATCAATGAAGTATTTCTAAACATCATTGATTATCATAAAAATAACAAATGGATGAGTGAGCGAGCAATTTTGGCGGCTAAGAACAAAGATGTGGATGACTTAAACTATGTAAGAAACGAGGACTGTGTCTAACAACTAGCCTGGCTTACCACCGCATAATTTACAACTAAAGGTTGGTTCGGTAGTCATTATGCTTCGAAATCTGAACCAACTAAAACTATTCAATGGAACGCGATTGGTGATAACAAAACTGATGGCCAATGTGATTTACGCAACGATACCCAAAGGAAAATTCAAAAGTGATGAAGTTCTCATTCCGAGGATTCCAATGATCCTAACCGATATGCCCTTTGAGTTTAAACGAATTCAATTTCCTATTCGGCTTGCATTCGTCATCCTTGAGTGTTTGTAGTTCGAATCTAGAAAATGCATATTTTTCTCATGGTCAATTGTACGTGACAGTGAATTTTTTTTAAATGTCCAGGTCCACAAAAATTTATTTTTTACTTTATTATTGAATATAGTACATAAATTCGTTATTATTAGTTATTACATTTGATTCGAATTTAATTTCAAGTTCAGATATGTATATGATTTTTTTCCTACATAACACTCGTTTTCCTCTTATAATTTCCTTAATAACTATTACATATAGCCTATTTTATTTATATAAGCATACCTATATACTTGAAATTAATATAAAAAAATATGAGATCCTATTTATATACAACTAGGTGACCCCGTGTACTTCGTGCCGCGTATCAGTCAATGAATGTTATATTAAATTTTAGGTAAACGTAGTCTTGAACATCTTGACCAATGCATGATGTTCATGAAGTAGTTGCTGCAGATCTTGAAGAATTGCTATTTTCATTGCTGTGTTGATCTCTTGACGCCGTTCGATAATGTCCGCCCCGAATGAAGTCATCTGAAAGCAGCTATTATACTTTTGAGTGTTCGCTAGAAAATGTCGTGATTCTGGTGTTTCACCACAAAGCAATGAATGCAATGACACAGGTGGCGGAGTCAATAATGGCAATTTCACTTTACCATTAAGGCAGCACAATCCCGGCGATTCTCCAGCAAACTTTAATGCAATGTTCGCAAGTAACGTCCATTGGACCAATGCGAACGAAAGGATGCGAAGTGTAATCATTTGCGCAATCGTATAGAAACGCTGCTCGATACAAATCAATAGTTGAGGCATTTCTTCTTGATCGTCGGATATTTTCTGTGTGATAAGCTCGACGATTTCTCATTGCCAACCGAGCCGTTTCACGGGCTGCCTCTCTTTGCTCTTGTGTTTGAGAAGCGCGAAGGCGGGTCATACTAATGTGGCTCCTTTCTCGTGCGATTTCTCGTTCTTCTTCAGTGGATGCATGCGTAATGGTTCGACGCCTAATTGCATTACGGCTTTGTTGAGAAAGATTAGACTTTCTGGGTCGCGGCATTGTTAATATTAAACACTCGCACAAAACAAACAAATCGATACTTTCACCTCATATATTTATGACAATATTTATTTATTATATTTGAATTTATTATATTTGAAATTTGAAATATTTGAAATATTTGAAAAAAAAATTTAAAAAGAAATGAATATCA